TCCATATACTTGACGCACGTCATTAACATGTACAAACAATCTTGAATATTTCTAAATTGATATAGCGTTGACGGTTTTGCATTGTTTGCATATCAGTCGTGCACGAAGTCAGTAAATTCGTTTATCGATCCGCAGTTAATGCTGAGATTGGTGATTCTTTATCCATGCACGCCGATGCATGTCTTTACGATCTCTTATATTTAAATCCACGCAACGGTTTGCTGGGCAATATACTAGTTGAATTGATACTGCGTTACGGTAAATAGTACTATCAAGTTGTCTTGACAAAATGTGAGCTATGAAAAAATTGATATGGGGTTTCTCACGGTTTATTGTAAACTTCCTATTTACGGTTCTTTTTGATTTACTATGAAAACAATGGCGCCATATAAGATAGCTCAGTTATTTTGACGCAAACAATATTTTTAATTGCTCCAATGGTGTAATATTTATAGGCCTACCTGGTTAAAAAGTCATTTCATCCATTAAGAGTTTATGGATGCATTTAGTGCTATTAGTAACGATATACATTTTTATTATTCTTTACTAAATGTAGATATAGCTGTCATAAGCATTTTAACTAAGTACGCTTGTAATATTTATATTTCTCTCTCATATGAATAACACCGTTTTCCGGTCATGCAATAAATACATAAGCGTATTGCAATGTGTTACGCAGTGCCTTCTAGACACTAATCTTGTTGATTTGATCGCCTAGAGGTAAGAGCGCTTGAGTGAAAATTCGTTACCGGACAAGACTTACACGCATTGATTAACAATTCATATGCAGTAAATGCCAATTTGCATTCTCCGTGCTTGCATTATATTCACAGCTGGATTTGATGGCCACAAAATGAGGAAGTTCGCTACCTGTCCATGGCACGAATATAATTGCGATGAAGTGTGGTGACGGGCGAGTGAATTTCTGTGAGCATCTAATTGCATCTTCAATTTAATTATGCGCGCGCGGATGCACGCGTGAAGCGGAAATGCGGGAGAGATTGAATAGGTGAATGGATTTCTATCCGTAATGACAAGGTTCCCTGCATGGTATGCATAGCCTTATTCTCTAACGGGGCGTGTACAGGAGCACGCGAAGGGGAGGTCTGGGGGGCTCTGCCCCAGGAAATTTTTGAAATTAGACCTCCTCAGATG